CGTGTGTCGGCGGCCGGTACATTGGTCGCATGGTTGCCTCAACTTCCCAGAGATATAGAGTGATGTTCTCAAAAAGGGGGCATCAGTGGGTGAGGCGAAAGAGTGGAGTGATCGGGCAAGCCTAATTCATGTCGACTTCTTCACTTCGGAACGTTATCCAAAGCGAGATACATCGCTTCATGGAAAAGGTTGCAACGGTGCGAGGCTCGGTCAGCTGCACGTCATGTCTCTCAGCGTCTTGGCTAGTGACTCTGCAAGATAGTCAGCATGTGTCTCATAATGTGGGCTCACTCACGGTCTTGTTATCTCGTCTCACCCTGCACCAACGACGGACGACACTGCCGAGACAGTAAAAGGGTCGTCTTGGGGAGACCTGTCCCAACTCCAACCGACCCAACGCATGTTCCCTCTTTTAGGTCCATGAGGTCGGTTTGGTCTGTCTGGACCCAGCCAAGATCATGGCTGACGATGAACGGGTGGTGATGGGGCAGAAGCACCGAGCAGACGCATCTATTTCAACGAGTGTCCAGCCGTACGAGACCTGTGACCGCGATGACATGCACAAGTAGCCATCCTTGAGACACTATCAGAACATCGAACCATTTGGGACAACGGCGACATGTGCATGGGAAGGGCTCGAGAATGACGGTGTTCGATACTCAGAGGTCTCGCTGGTGATCTCGCTGGACGCACTGTTTGACAAGCACATGACAGCAGTGGAACCAAAGTTGGTCGCATGATGATTGTTATCGGTGTGACTGGCAGGTAGTTGTATAACCTTGGAGTGCTGACTTGGGGCTGTGGTATAGACCTGACTGGTCGTAACATGGGGAGTTTTAGCACTGGCCAACGGGTATGGGGCTGACAAGGGACTTACCTGCGGGATGCCTCGCTTGCACTCTTGTGATCAAGAAGCTAGTCAGAAGTCACACTATTAGCTCAACTCGACAAGGCACATGAGTACAGCACTCACCAAAGGATTGTCGCCAGTCAAGGCTCAAGCTCTGGCCCGCGGGCACGAAGACGGGCACAGTGGACTGAACCACCAGTGGGAAGGGAGAAGCAGGTGACTTGGTGGCTTCTGTGTACACCGAGGATGTCAGTCACAGCGAATACTTGGGGTCAAAGAAAAGTGACCCATCATCTGCTGTAGCAGGGCGCCTTGGTTTCAGCTTGGAGGAACTCGTCAGATATGGTAAGGAAGATAAATATTTTGACAGAGAATGTGGGAAGGAGGCCATATTTATAGGTCTCTTGACAGGTCTTGTTACCGCCCGCTTGTACTACCGCGGTGAAATCTTCTTGATCTGTCGATTTCTGGAGGGCTATTGTTTTCGGGGGCATCGAAGTTGCCTGTGCAAAGTCAGGCTTGTTGAACTTCGGCTTATTGAGGTGACGGGCGAGAGAATATCCAAGTGCAGGCCGGTGAAAAATGAACGGTCATGTCAAGGGTGAATTATGCCCTCAAGTCAATTTCTGAAATGTTCAAATAATAATAAATTAGTAAAATAAAATAATTTCATTTTTAATTATTGTTTGTCTGAAGAGCGTTGATCAACGTTCAACCTTGTCTCAACGACCGTACTTTCAACAGTTGAAACGGTGGGCAGCGATCATCGCTCCACTGCGACAGCATGCGCTTTTATCGCCATCATCTGAATTTCAGCATTGGCTGTTGATTTCAAACAGAAGCCGATGATCATGCTGTGTTCTGAGGAAGTGGCCTCACTTGTTGATGATCGAATTTTCAAGGTCTAAGCCATCGCCCACTCAAAATATTTTCACAACAGCCATGCTACATTGATTGTAGTACTACGGCTCTTACTTTAACTCATCCAGGACAACACACATCGACAATTCACACCACGAGCTGTGCTTGAGCCGATGCCAGTTGTCGAATACAGAGAGTTGAATTCTGGGTTCCTGGAACTACTGAGCTGAATGATCAAGGAGCGCCCAATGACTACAAATCTATACCTGATATTTGGCCATGCTGCCTTTCCAGGATGATATTATCAGAATGTAGAAATGCGATTATCATACTATACATTGGTACAGACAAGGCGATCGAAAACTCAAGTCGTTTTAAATGTATCCAGGCAAGACAGGATAGACACAGCCAACCTGAATCCGAAAAAAAGTACATACGCAAATATTCCCGGGTGCAGTTAGAAGCTTTCTGAAGTACTTGGTCTCTCCCACATAGAGAATCGAGCTATTCGAATTCCCAGCAAACCTAGGCCACTGTGGATTCTCGTATGTACCAGTATTACTTTTCATGCTCGGGCTCAACGGACCAAAGTGTACGAGCAAAGAAAAACATTCTCACCATCTTGCATCCTCTGATCAAATCATTCGAGGAACGACTTGGTGGTGAAGCACAATACAATAAGTCGAGATTACTCTCTGTGCAGCTTTTCTCCGTGCAGCTTGCTCCTCTCTCTCGATCAGTCTCATTTACTTCGGCATTCAATTCACATACACTTGTGTCCCGCGATGATGCATATCCTACGGCTTATTGGTGCCTTCATATGGTTCGGAATCTGCTGTCAAGGGTACCGACAATGTCCATGCTCAGAAAGTGCACCGAAATGGCCCCGACAGGATGCTTTCATCTCACCTCGCATGTACCTGGTCACGAACCCCGCGAGACTCACGCCTCCGAGCGACAGGAAAGCACATCCACGCAATGTCGGCGTTCCATATGGGAGTAACATTGTCGAAGTCCCTGCCAATCGAGCCAACCAGTACAAGTATGTGGTTCGCTTCAATGGACCAGTAGGGGGAGAAGACTGGAGTGTGGTGATCTGGAATAAACTTGGACCAGACGGTATTCAGGGCGGTTGGTACGGCAAAGCTTGCAGGGAATTCACTCTTGCCGCCGGCCAGACACGATTCATAGCCTTTGATGAGGATTCCCAGGGTGGATGGGCCGCTGCACCTGGAACTGCCATCCCTTTGGATTCTAGAGGTGGTTATGCGTCGACGTGGGGAGAGTTTGACTTTGGTTCATTCGTGAACGACGGCTGGTCCGGATTTGACGTCTCTGCGATTCAAGCACAGAACGCTGGCCTGGAAATTCAAGGAATGCAGATTTGTGATGTCCTCACTCATATATGTTCAGCCATTACTCGAGATGCGAGTCACGTTCGCAACGCCTACACAAGGGATGTTGCCCATGTCGGCGGTATTGGTGGCAATCTTGCCCCCGGTCCAGTCAGACTCCAGGTAGCCCTTGATTATGCCAAATGAGACGTGTTTGGTATTTATCAGGAACTAGAAGAGTACAGTCAGTGTCCACCTAGGGGACGCCCCATGATGCTCAATGCAGAGTTTTGACGACAGTTCAGTTCCTTGAACCGCTTCAATAGCTATCCAAAAACTATTGTATCCAATCATCGTGGTTTTTTTTATTGTACTTCTCATGCTGCCGTTTCTATATGTTCAACCCGACAGATCATCTCCTTGATCAATCTGAATGTCCCTCACCAGTTATTGTCGCTTTCAAAAATACACCGATGAATAATATACTATCAGAGCGTACAGTTATGGTTCGGGCAGAGTCACGACATCGAAATGATCATGCCTCTTTATCAAAGACCCCTTTGTCCCAAAATCACTACATATGCAGGAAATTTGTAGGTCTCATGCAACTATTCCTTTCGGCGAGCCCATTGCATCAGATGCTCGTTTTTGCGCGGATGAATATTTTCAGTGCTAGAATGAGCCAGGAAAGCCATCTGACCAGTGCTTGAAACGCTCCTCACTGGACAACTCAGGAATGGCAGTTATAATCATATGATAAGCCAAACATCTAAGTGATTTCGAGTATACAATATTTCAGTAATCTTAGTGTGATTGAGGATCAGGGCGCGTCTGGACTGCGCGATGCGCAGGGATGCCATCTTGCACATGACAGACTTGCCTATTAGCTGAGCCCCTCCAGATGCCAAATTTTCTACCGCTAAAAAATATCATCAGAGGTTATTTGGACATCGGAGGACGAACTATGGTCTCTGACTTTCGTACACTATTTTTCATGCAGCTTTTGCAGATCATCGACCATCCACCTGTTGTCCAAATTCGCACCATCGAATCTTTTTCATGTCCGTCTGCGGGAAAACATGATGTCACATTCGACAACAACGCGCAGTTCTTCCTCCTCGTCACCATAGAGCCCCTTCATCGGCAGAACACTGGTCACTCATCGTCAGTCCTGATTGGGGACAGGTTTGCAAGTATCGCCCACGTTAGAAGACCATACCCAACTGGCTGCTTTGTCTTTTCTGATGTAGCCGTGCGCACCGCAGGGCAGTATCTTTTGAAGTTCTCACTCTTTGAGAGATACATCAGTGCTGGATCAGATGGCAGGTATTTTTAATGTCCTTATTTCTTTGAAAAAACCAGAAGGAAAGCTGAGGCCCAAAGATCGCCGCAAGTATTGCGTTTTTACTTAAAGGTCAATTCGCGTCCCTTCATTGTCTTCAGATCAAAGGGCTTCCCCGGAATTCTCAATAGTACAATCTTATCTCATAGCCTTGCCGAGCAAGGTTGTCGACTTCTCTTAAGAGGCCCTCGACCGTCGAATCGGAGCGAAGCGATCGAATCAGACCGAATGACTTCTAAGATGTGTGAACATTCCACAATAACTTGCAGAGTTATCTATGGAAAGGTTTATCGATATATACGTCGGGATCTTTCAGCTTTTCACGGAAAGGGTACGAAATTTGATAATTTCTATGACCCTCGAATATGTACATACCCTCGTTATGCAGGAGGTAATCGGTCCGTGTGTACCAGGACAATTTCCCCTTGGCCAGGTTTAAAACCCCATCCTTGTGACTGCTGTCTATCTTCTTCATTCATTGCAGATTGTGATGGAGACAGAATGTGATGGATTATGCAGAACTTTGGTAGGAAACTTTATGCTGCATGACTGACAATGATGGTCAGTCACGGCAACCCGCCCAGGTGAGCTAAGCTAAATTGACAATTTCTCGTCAAATCTCCACCGGATGGTGTGAGATCTCACATAATGCTTCATGATATTCAGCCGTACTGCTAGAATGAGAGTGACAATGATCCTGGTCTCCCACTACCTCACCGTGAGATGGCCTTATCACGTCCAGCGCAACGGTTGTGGCCGCAGTGGTCGTGTTCGAGACATTCGCATCACCTGATGATGATTGACCCTGTATTCGGCCCGGTGGAAAACCCAGAGCATCGGCATGCATTGCTGTGCGAAGATGATACAGCAGCACGAATTCCAGTCTCAACTTGATACTGTATATCACAGCTTGTAGACTGACTTGTATGAAATGCAGCCTGTACTCCGTCAAGAGGAGGAGAATATTGAGGAGAAACACGAATCCGCCGATCCCAAGTAGATGCGCGGTGGCTTGAGGTTGCTCCCGGCCGCGAAGTCTGGCGACGCAGATCAGATTGCGCATCGCCTCATGTATGTAGAAGCAACTAATCACGCCCTCCTGCACACAAAAGCCGACCAATTGGATGCGATTGAAGATGGAAGCCAGTCGAGGAAAACGGGGATCGCCATTGATACTCCCAAGAAACAGAACTGTCATAGGGATGTGTAGGATGCAAGCATTCACGACGATCATCCGGAGCACCCATCGCACCTTGCTGATATCAAGAATGACGAGGCGCAGACGAGAGTAGCATACGACGGCCTGACCAGTCACCATGGCGTACCACCCGACGATGAACAACACGGACGCCGGCAGTGTGGATTTTTGAGATGTGCAGCAAATGATGGCAGAAACAGCGTGCATAAGAATGCCGCAGCATGAGGCCTGCATGCTCCAGAAGTAGAGGTTGCGATAATTTCTGACAATGTCAAATGTGACGAAGATCATTTCCATCGCATTGCATATGGCAGTAGCGAGTATCGATATGACGATGATGTTTGAGATGTTTTCTTGGAGGACAATTCCTACCTCCGGGGACAGATTGGCCACGAAGGTATCCATGACCACGTAGATCTTTGTTTGTGGCTTTGTCTGCAGAATGAGAAGACATTGAAAGCTGTTCAATAATGTGAAAGGCACCGGGCTTTATCAATCAATTATATAGCCAGAGCCATGATGCATATGTGCGGGGCCGTTACTAGAGAGAATCAAGAAAAGCCGGTCTAGCTCAGGTCCAGACCGGCGGCACCGGGACATAACTGGAAAGTCCCAGGAGCAAGCTCACTCCCAGGATCATCGATGTTGTTCCTGGCTTCAGATCAGTGATCTGCGCAATCATCGACTGAGGTCTCACGGCCAGTCTTTTCTGACCCGCTTGGGTCGGTGGCCTGCACATGAGGACAAATTGTACCCCAACGTGACCACCCTCGAAAGTTGGCCTTGAGAGCTTGCATGAGAAGTGTGGAAGCCTTACAGTTTCTCTTACCGGTCAAGGATTCTACAAACCATGAATAGTGAATAGATGTTGCCAAAGCTTTTTACAAGATCCCCGCTTTCACGACTACCAAAACTCCGTTGACTAAGGATACAATCTTTTTACGAGCATCATCAATATCAAACAGATTAAGCAGGATAGCAAGAATAAAATCCACAGGATGAATGGCGAGAGGCGAAGAGGAAAGCCACTATTGAATGTTGGGCAGGTATAGCCCGCTGAATGAACCTTTGCAAATCTGTTGTACCGGTCTAATACTAAATAATGCAAGACTACCGCATCCCTTTTTATTCGCACTATAACCGTGGTGCTGTGAATAATCAAGACACCAAATAAGCCATCTGGGGATTTGAAATAGGCTCATGTCGTAAATACTGTTTTTAGTGCGTGGTAGCAAAAAATTTAACCAATTTCATCGTACTTTTTTGTATGTCTGCGGTATCTCACAATATGTTCATATACCACGCCTTAGAGGTCCATTCTCCCAGTGGCACACATCCGATGTACATACTCCCAGATCCATGACGACGATCGTAATTTCTTGGGTCGGTAATTTCTAAGCGCCGGCATCAAGCGATCTGAAGAAAGAGTTAGCATTCACGTCAAGGCAGCTTGAGAGGATCCATACCTGAAATCGAGCCTCGTGTCAGCGTTGATTCGCTACTATCAGCAGAATCAGATTCAGACACAATAATTGTCTGAAACCACAGATCGATGTTGCTCCGGGTTGCCGCATCGGCTGAAGCGTCTGAATGTATGACCGTCTGTTCTGTCGAGCGACGGCGGGGCTCTCGTCGTTTACGGTGACTTTGACGTCTTGGAGATCGCGCAGTCGTGCGACCATTCTTCCGCAGAATATGGTACTTTTTGCCTCGTAAGGATTCAACGCTTCGATCCACGCCGAACCTTTCTCTGTATGCGCCTGGAAGATCTTTCCACGGCAATGAACGATTTTCATCTAACCATCGCAGGAGGTTCTCTTCTTCTTGGACTGACCAGCTCAGAATTCCACGTGGGGACATTGTGAAATTTAAAATGATGCTCACGGGACGGTCGTGAGTTTTTGTTGAGGGGAGTAAGCTGAGTTTTAAATACTCGCTAGACTTAGTCAAGAGTATCATTCACTGGCGAAGTTGGTCAAACTTTTTCGAGTCAGAGTCTGTTCCATGGATTGGTTTGATGAGCCATATTGAGGATTCTGCACCTGAGAAGCGCTTTGTATCACAGACTTTCACCAGTTTCTGATCCTCAAGTTTCTGATCCTCAGAAATCTGAGGTCTTTTGTCTTTTGTTTCTTTTTTCTTTTACTTTTTTTTGTTTTCGAATTAAGCGTCGCTCCTGGGCAACAATGATCATCAAATATTGAGCATTGCTCAAATTGCACAATCTGGATGAAATTTAATGTGGTTAGAGCAATGTTCGTATGTTGACCTTGTCTGTTGAGCTTGCTTGTTGAAGTTGCATGTTGATCTCGCCTGTTCATCTCGCCTGTTGATCTCGCCTGTTGATCTCGCCTGTTCACCTTGCCTGTTGATCTTGCCCGTTGAAATCTTACATGACTTTACTTGTTCAGCTTTGACCTCATCTAGAGCCGTGAAAAGCTCACACTCGCAAATTCCTAAACAATGTGGCTCTACATATTTCCATGGAGCTCAACATCTGAGAGAGTCTTCGTTGTTGCGACAGACATCAATTGCTTACTCAGACCTTCCGGACAAACCTTATAAAAGCTGCCCGACTTTTGCCTTGGGTAAATTCGCCGTTCTAAAACTTCTCTACTACAAGCATGGTTGAAATTAGAAAGGCTTCCCGGCCCGCCAAACACGAAAACTTTCGACGTCGATTAGAGCGCGCTTTATCCTTGTCACCTTCCGATTCGGACAGTGCAAAAGGCTCTTCATCATCGGCAGAGAGTGACACTACCGAGATTGAATCTCTTGCGGAGAACAACTTCGCCAATCTCCAACGTGAGACGACCCTGGTGGGTAGCACCCCGCAAGATGACACTGAAGATTGGATCCAGAGAGAGGATGTCGGGATGGAGCAGAACATTGGAGGGGAATCTGCAACCTCGGACAATCGTTTCATGATCGCCTTCCAGTGTATCTCCGAGTAAGTGTCTGACTCCGCCGCTAAACCGTTTCCAACCTCGCTGCTAACCATACATCTATCAGACTAGACACCCGAGTGAAGTAAGTCGCTCTAAGAGGCGCCACCGCTGATACCATTATAGGTCGATCCAGAGTTCGCTGAGCACTCTTGCAGATAAGACTGAAACCATTTGCAGTGATCTGGACGATATTGTTCAACGACTGGTAGCCGTGGAGGCAACAATAGATACCATAGCTACAGAGACTCGGAGCACCACGGAAGAGGATAGTTGACTGGGTGAACATGTTGTCGCCAATGAGGTTTCGGACTATGATGTGTTGACTTTTTGTTACCAAAGTAGTGCTACATGATTCACATGTCCACTTGTTTCCACCTACGTGCCACAGCATCCAGCAACATCGCCAACCTGAGTAGATTTTCAATTCAAATCACTAAGTATTGGTGGTCTGGAATGTATAAATTAGAAAACCGCCACCGGTCTAATTTATATTTGGTTTGGCTGATACGCGCACGGACTATTTGCCACGTGCCAATTAAGCTTTATCGTGCCGGTGTTTCAGTGCAACTCGACCCACTTACTACATTCGGAGAGTGACAAATTTGGAGCCAATTTTTAGAATCTTGCGCGGCCGGCCGGGCAAATGATGGTCGAGATCATTGAGAACAAAATTTTTGATGTTACATTCAGTCCTCTGGGCAGATAATTCCAAATCATATGACCCGTGGCAATCCTTTGATTTGACTTTGCTAAACTGGCTGAGTGGTAGACCATCTAGCATGCCACTTGCCAAGGCTTACAGTGCCGTGATTGGATCAAATATCCGAGCAGCGGAAGATCATCTTGCGAAGAGAGTTAGGAGAGGACGGCGATCATGATCCACCGGGTGGACGGACGGACCCAGGTGACAGGCCCCGCTTGGCGATGAACAGAACTGCTTGAAAGATTCATCTATTTTATTTACTTTTCGGAAATCTCTTTATTCAAAACAAGGTATGAAATCGTCTACCAGTTAAATCTGATCGTATTGCAGCCGTAGTCCCAAGACGGTGATGCGACCAGGAGATAGTTGTGTGCGTCATAATTTCTGACATCAAAATACCATTGGACCCATAAGAACCCAAGAACGCTTCACACAAAGGAATCAAACACGTTGCTTGCCCCACGCTCTTGCTGAATGCTCGAAGAGGGATTGCCCGATTCGGCGAACCCGGGAAGTGAATCGGATCCCAAAGATCCCAGCGGGCCGTACTGCTCCGTCCAATTTCCGTGGATCACTCCAGAGCCGGGTAGATAGGATGATAGTCTGCGGTTCTGAAGAGCGTCGATCGCGTTCCAGTATCGCGTGGTCGCAGACACTAGCTCGCCATGTGTTTGAAGTAATATTGGCTGAATGTCATTCCACGGGATGTTATCTTTTGTCGAAGCATTCAACAATTCTACCTGCTGCTGGAGTTGACGAATCTCGTTCTGAAGACTTTTATTCTCAGCCAGCGCGGTCTCTTTCAGCGCAATAGCTTGCTGCAGTTTCGAACTCTCTTCAGCCTTTGTGGCTTGCATTCGCTGCACCAATTGAGACTCGTAGGCCTTTTGGTCGTCCTTCTCCGCAAGGGTCAAACGAAGCTCCCGACCAATTCTGTCCATCTCATCAAAGCATTTAGCATGAATGGCTTTAGTCTCCTTCTTCCGGTCACTCTTCGACACGAGATGCCCCTAAATAGTATGATCAGCCGAAAGCGCATGGTATCAGCAGTACTGAGCATCGTGATGGGTGATTCAAGAATTGAGGAATCGAAAACAAACAACATACCGGGACTTTGGATGGCTTCGTGGCTGAATGCAGAGAAGAGCAGTCTGCATGAGACTCAGAGAGCCCCATCGAAGCAGGGCTGGGAGAATTGATGCGGGACCTCGCACGCGTCACTCTTGACCTGCTTCTGATATCTAACTTCTTTGGGGTGGAGCTTGATTGCTTTGCCATGGTATTAGATATTTTGACAGGCGTGTTGTGGTAGAACAGTGAAAGAAAAATGTTTTTCTGTAATGAAGATTGGGAAATCGTACCTTTTCATACAAGGGAAGTTTGTTAAGAGATGATCTGCAACGAAGCACAAAAGTCTGTTGCCCTGCCAAGCAACCCTAGTAGTACCAGTCTTCTGAGCCCGAAGTCTCAAATGTGCATTCACGCCGGGAATTCGGAGTCTGTTAGTGTGCCAGAAAGTACCGTCAATATTCTTGATGGCGCATGAATATAGACGTGGTTTTAACCCGCACAAACATAATTGCCGCGTACACGAATGGAGGGTCTCTAGAGGTTCCCCTAAGAGAGACTGTGTATATACGGAACATGATGACTTGCTGCTGCCTAATTTCAGATACCTGTGAACCGCCAGAAGCCAACTCCAAACCCCCTTTTTCTTTTTTTTTTCTTTTTAAGCATAGCTAATTCCAGATGAAAGTGCACGTGGGTAAGATCGAATTCCATGTTCTCGCCATAGCCACTTGCCTTGGTACAGTGCATGGCTCAAATCCTAATTCTTCTGTGACTCAAGGTCACTAAGCACACGCTTTGAGAGCGCAAAGCACAAGGTTACCAGTGTTGCTCCCAAATGCCTTGAAGGTGATTCGCGATGCACTTTCGAACGGATCCCACATAGGGGAGAACTTCTCCACTTCTCTATTGCCCGGGTAACCGTCCTGTCGATCCAGTCGATGGAAAGATCTAGAAGCTATCTTGTCTGCATGCAACCTTCTCTCAATACCTTACTTGTCCACTTGATGGCTCATCCTCCAGGTCCGAATTTATCACGGTCTAGAACACCATCTCATTCAGGGTCGTGCATGCTTGGCAGGACAAAATAGGTTTACATGAATAAGTTGGGAACAATTTAGACGCCGATTAGCTTTCAGAAACGTCAGGGTCGGCGTTGTAGGCCGGAAGACTCTGGTCAATCCGAACTCTATCTGTAATGCCGTGGTGTGTTTTTGTGAAATACGCCTCTGCCTGTGAATGTAACCTTTCTTGCATTGGTAAATTGCTTTGGGAAAAACGATCGAAAGGGTGCAAGTATATTGAGGGACAGCTCTTCACGAATATCTTATCCTGTCAAGGAGTCTTTATTCGACCTTTTCCGATTATAAGACATTCTTTCAGGTATCAGCTTCAAATCACCCATTCATGGAAAATCCGGTCTTCTCGTCTGAGCTGTCCCGACCGAGTGTTTCCACGGGTTGACCAAAAAGAATCCCAGCTTTTGACAAACCCCACTTGTCGATCTTTGGAAGCCGAAAATTTACTTTATCTCTCTAAGTTTTCCATTGGCATCCAAATTTTCTGGTTAAAGGGAGAATTCTATTGTCTGGCTAAACTGGCTAAGTGATCAAGGCCAATCATGTTTAGTGTTCGTCACAGCCTCTGGGTTATCAACAAGTCTGCGACCCATCGAGCCATGTGTGGACCCAATATGATCTAAAAGCTCCCCGAGTCATTGTCAGGAGCCCTGGCAACCACGTCATGATCGCATTGCGAGAAGATAACATGTTGAATAGTAGTCTTCAAAACCGTCTACCCACCATGTCCACCTCATAGCTCTCAAGTTCTCTTCGTTTGCAACAAGTCTGCAGTTATCATGGACACGATCATTAGCAGCCTGCCACCAGACGTCGGGGCCATCCTGATGAAAAACGTCTCGATCATCCAGGTCGTGGCCATGTTCTCAATCGGTGCCTACAACGCCTTCGAAACAGCAATCGTCACTTTCGACACGTTCAAGCGCTACAGCGGTCTCTATTTCTGGAGCATGCAGGTCGCGTCTTGGGGCATCCTTGTGCATGCACTGCCTGCCATGGCTCGTTTTGTCTCTCAGGCGTCTAATCTTTCTACGTCAATCCCTTTCATCATCGGGTGGTACGCCATGGTTACCGGTCAGGCCGTCGTACTCTATTCACGTCTGAACCTCGTTGTCTCCAACATGGGAAAGGTGCGGTGGGTTTTGTGGATGATCATTGGCAATTTTTTCATTCTCCACGTCCCCATGACCGTCCTATTCTTTGGCCTGAACCAAGGTGACGCACGCTTCGCTCGACCTGCCGCGATATACGATCGCATCCAGGTGACAGGCTTCTGCGTACAAGATTTCATCATTTGCGGGATTTATATCTACGAAGCAATCCGAGCTCTCCAGCCGATGATCGAGATCCGAGGTCGCAATGGTCGGAATGCCATCATACATCTGCTCTGGATCAACATTATTGTCGTGTTGCTCAACATTCTACTCCTTCTCGCGGAGTACAAGCTGCACTACATTCAAGTGAGCTTCAAGACCGTGGTGTACAGCATCAAGTTGAAGTTGGAATTCTCCGTGTTCAATCGTCTCCGGTCGTTGACGAGCACGCAGCCCAGTCTATCCCAGTATGGGCCCGAAGAGCGGCACAGATCAAGCAAGACGAGTCTCCTGGACAAGATGTTTCCATGGGTTTCTGTCACACCGGATAGAAATGTGAGACCTGAGGCTGCTCAGAGAGAAACTCCACGAGGCGCATGCGCAACATCGAATGAGAACAGCCCTCGCCCTGGAAACACCTCGTTCACACGACTCTCTGCCAATACCGCAATCAATTCTCCCACGGGCTCATCAGACAGTCTGCCCACGCTAGAATTGAGTCTGTCTGAATTTTCACCCAGATTGAATGTATGAACTTTCGCCGAGGAATGAGCAATGGGTCTTTTTCTAGATTACAAACTATAGTGAGAGTTGATTTAATGATTCATGCAAGAGGCAAACGATTCAAGTGTGGCTAGGAGTCGACGCGAGCTCCCCATGAGATGACATTCCGGACTTTTGAAGATGTTGATATTGGTGCAAAGTACCCGAAAGAGAGCTAGACATTACGATTGCTAAATGATGTAGAGAAACAATGGCATTGTGATACATTGTGATCATGAAAGAACAAATGACGACAAAGAATATGTCAATTACTGTAGAAGATCGTCTGCATTCCATGTCAGCCTCCTCGGTGTACTTTCATTCTCGATGATTGGCCTTGATGAGAAACAGTCTTCGTATCGTGTGCCTGCTGAGTCTCGGGCATCAACTCTGCACTCAGATCGCTGTGCTTGATCCCACTTGGCATCATGACTAATATATTTACTTGGCATCTGCCGATCAATCTATTCATTTGGTTGAGAAGTTAAGCCACCATGATCGAAAGTTGCATCGTAGATACCACCGCTGAAACCGGCTCCTCAAACAACTGTTGATCGTGGGTGTTTCAACAGTTGGACTTGAGAAGACATAAATAGACGTCGCAAAATGTTTATGTGAATCGTGTTAGAGAGCGTGCGATGGTGAGAACGCTTTGATACTGTTCGCGCTTAGTGCCAAGGTCACCACCTGCCGTTTTGTCAATTAATTTCATGTATAAGTAATGCGCTCTACATGGAACGAGGAATCCTTTGTCACATCAGCAAGAACCGGACCCAACATGAAGGACAGAACTGCTTCCAGTACCTGGCATCGCGCCACCATCTTCCTCATCAGCTTTTTGGGGTTGTCCTACTTGTCTGTCCTTCTTACGCAGGTTTTCGTATTTCATTGCCCTACGCTCGGCAATGGAACTCTCCAGGCACTGTCTGTCATTGTTGTAGTTCAGAGGTGTGAATTGTCTTATTTTTTTATTTGAGAGGGAAGAATAAGGCTATATATACAACGAGAAGATCAAGTTGATTGGAAATCAACTTGGTTCTTCGTATACATACTTCGGGATTAATTCCGGTGGTTCGGCTTGGTTCCTGATCTGCACCAGCCTTATATCACAACAGTCATTTTCTTCTACGCCAGTGTCATGTTATTGTTCTCGTTGATCCTACTCGATCAAGTCTCGCCAATCCGAAAAGGCCATCCCACGGTGTCTCGGAGATTGGATTTTGAGCTTGCAGCTGTATTAGCCGTTACAGTGCTTCCGGAAATCGGTGTCACTACCTACACTCTTTCATCCTTTCTATAACCCTAATGCCAAGATCAACTAGACTTGATCAGGAAGAGTAGCGGAAAATAAATAGTCCAGTATTATTATCTATACAGTAATTTACACCGCCTAAGCGATGCTATGACGTTTTGCATCTGTAAAGGTACCGTAGCTGAACTTAGTCATTGAATTGCAATCAATTCAATGACTTAAGACCAAACAGCTGTAGCAGGTCTCGTGGATCTGACAGGATGCTTTTTTTCCCCTTATACAACTGTGACTAATTTACTTAAATATACTCCTCGATTGTTTCGGTATGAAGCCAAGCCAAACAGGATGGAAATTTGGAGAAAAAAAATAATTTCCGTGACGGCTAACGTATTGATCAATTCAGGCGTTTGTTCTATAGCATGGTACTGAATGGATTAGGAAAAGGTAAGGCGGCAACGATTATGAATCATCTTGAAATCATAGAAAAGTTCTCAGTGACAGGAAAAATCATATATAACCATCAGCTATCCCAAGCCCTTCTTTTGGAAAGAGATTAGAAAATAAGAGAGGTGGAAGAATGCAAAGAAGGGAATTATATGGTATACGTATAGAATTTTGTAACCAAGACCCGCCCATCTTGATACCCAAGTGCAAGTGTGGCATCCTTAACGGCCTGGCATGTAAAAGAACGAAACTCTACAGGGAGCCATAGTAGATTTTCACCTCCCAAACTAATCCAGGTCTTTGATAATGATATCTGGGCATCGCCATAAGTTTTCTCGGGAGCTGTATTGGGCGAGGAGGCCACTGAATGAACCCAGGCTGAATGGCCCTCTAGCGTCTGCCGCTGAGTGCCGGTCGCCGTATCCCAGAGCTTAATAGTGTTGTCGTCCGAGCCCGATGCTAGGGTGAGCCCGTCGGGCGAGAAGGCCACAGAACCAACCGAGCCTGAATGGCCCTTTAGCGTCTGCCGCTGAGTGCCGGTCGCCGTATCCCAGAGCTTAATAGTGTTGTCGTCCGAGCCCGATGCCAGGGTGAGCCCGTCGGGCGAGAAGGCCACAGAACGAACCGAGCCTGAATGGCCCTCTAGCGTCTGCCGCTGAGTGCCGGTCGCCGTATCCCAGAGCTTAATAGTGTTGTCGACCGAGCCCGATGCCAGGGTGAGCCCGTCGGGCGAGAAGGCCACAGAACGAACCCAGTCTGAATGGCCCTCTAGCGTCTGCCGCTGAGTGCCGGTCGCCATATCCCAGAGCTTAATAGTGTTGTCGACCGAGCCCGATGCCAGGGTGAGCCCGTCGGGCGAGAAGGCCACAGAACGAACCCAGCCTGAATGGCCCTCTAGCGTCTGCCGCTGAGTGCCGGTCGCCATATCCCAGAGCTTAATAGTGTTGTCGTCCGAGCCCGATGCCAGGTTGAGCCCGTCGGGCGAGAAGGCCACTGAACGAACCCAGCCTGAATGGCCCTCTAGCGTCTGCCGCTGAGTGCCGGTCGCCGTATCCCAGAGCTTAATAGTGTTGTCCTCCGAGCCCGATGCCAGGGTGAGCCCGTCGGGCGAGAAGGCCACAGAACGAACCCAGTCTGAATGGCCCTTTAGCGTCTGCCGCTGAGTGCCGGTCGCCGTATCCCAGAGCTTAATAGTGTTGTCGTCCGAGCCCGATGCCAGGGTGAGCCCGTCGGGCGAGAAGGCCACAGAACCAACCGAGCCTGAATGGCCCTCTAGCGTCTGCCGCTGAGTGCCGGTCGCCGTATCCCAGAGCTTAATAGTGTTGTCGTCCGAGCCCGATGCTAGGGTGAGCCCGTCGGGCGAGAAGGCCACAGAACGAACCCAGCCTGAATGGCCCTCTAGCGTCTGCAATGTTGAGCCCCACGAATTCATCACCGTTTGTAGTGGCTGTATCCGCTTTGATATTTCACCAAGAAATATTCCCTTGATGACACTTTGTGCCGGTGCAAACAATAGCCCGGAACAGTAGAGTTGCAGTGGAGCGATGCCAGCCATATAAGCATTTTGAAGAGTGAATCTTCTCGCATCACATAAAAATTCCGCAAGAGCAGAATCCGCTTTCTTCTGTAATATCTATCAGCCGGTACCTAGCTATAAATTCTCGAGACTTACCCATTTACTTGATTCCAATGTCTTGATCATTCCTGCTACCTCGGATATTTTTCCCATTAAAGCTAGTGCCTCCAACCAGTGAAGGAACCGCTTTTGAAGGAAAGAGAGAATATCAGGTTCAGAAATACCACCCTGGCTATGTTTCAAATGATGTACCCAATAATAACAGGAGTATTGCAGATCAGCCGGGAGGCGGTCTTGGATGATCTGAGGATCGATATCCTTGTACTGTACTCCGTAACTTGCTAGGTCACAGATATTGTGCCTGAGCTGAGTATCCATGACACGGAGACAATTTAAGGCTATCTGCCGATGTGTACTTCCCCCATCAATCCGGAATTCAGTTTTTGTGCCAAGTAGGAAATCTCGAAACGATAGGTGCAGCATGCGAACTGGGTTGCTGTTGCTCCTTGGTATGTTGAGTACTGAATGTAGGAAGCCCAAAAGATCGCTGATCTCATGTGGCGGTTTTTGTAGAAGCAAGGCAAGAGAGTTAACTGAGAGTGGGGTAGCCAGGAGGATAATGGCTCCAACAATCACTCGAAATTCTTCTAGGTTATCATTTAACTCATCTTCATCGTCTCTCATCAGTTGACGTAAAGCTGGCAGATATGTTTTCTCCAACTGAGTTGCACTTGTGGTTTCAATATCAAGGTACTTCTGAAGCTGTTTGTGAGGATGCAGTCCTTTTCCGATAGAGAGGCATGCCGTGGATGCAAAAATGAACAGGGGGACAGCCATCTTCACCAACTTTTCAATCTTGTCATGCCCGGGCCAATCCGGGGAGAGTGAGCGTTTGTTGCGTATCTCTGTCAGCCTGTATTCCAGGAATCGGCGAATATCGTGTTCGAGGACTGGAGTGGGAATTTCGTGAAGAATGAGTTCCTGGTGGTTCTCTTCCTCTTTGAACCCAATACGAATTGGCAGTTCAGGCCTGCTCGTTAAGACCACGCGTAAGCGAACTGACTTGATTTCTTGGAATTTGAACAAAAGATGAATGATAAGCTTTATATCATTATCCCCATCACATTCGTCCAAGGCGTCAATAACGATCACAATTGTGGTAGATTGGTCTAATTGCAGGTTCAAAAGAGGCTGTAAGAGAAGCTGGTCAAATTGATCTCTCAGAAATTTCGATGTAATTCCCGGATCAGCCTTGATGGCGCTTAAAACGTCAGGCACCAGTTTCCTGTGTCTATTTACCAGCTGTCCTGCGATGCTGGTGAACAAGTATGTTGCAGTACCACGGTCAGCTTCGCCCCGCTTGAAAAAAAAGCTCGCACCAAGTAGTCCTTGGTCTTTGAACCCTTGTGCAACTGTACGTGCAATGGTAGACTTCCCAGTCCCTGCCATCCCACTCAACCAAAATATGAACTTATCATCGCTCTTGGCCCAGTCAGTGATACGGGAAAGGAGCTCGACTCTAGTCCCTGGAAGGCAAAAGTCCTCATGCTCATGAATATGAGAGTTATATAATGCCCCCTCTACAACACGTAGATGCATAAGGCTGGACTGTTGCAGAAGAAGCTTCAGGGATTCGCCAAGCTCATCGATTTTAAGAAGGATATTTTCTGCCTCATTTTCATGGTGTAAGTATCCACCAAGCTCGATCCACCGGCGCAGACTATCTCTTTCTTTTTCAACTGAGATCTTAAGCTCCGTAAGTGGATGCCCAGTAATGGTAGTGAAACAGTCTGAGAGATTTCTTCCGATGCCCGGCTGTTGGGCATTCCAAATCTGTGCGGAATAGTGCAGAATAGCCTTATAAAGGTTGATTATTGCAGCCTTTACATGTCGTTGAATATCTGGATGTCCGTTAAGGTAGAATCTCTGTTCGATAAAGGCACATTGTGTAATAACATCAGCCAGGTACTCTGATGATTCAAACAGTGCATTTCGTGCGTCATGGTGATTTTGGGGAATCTAAGAAGCCATTTGGATGATAAGTAAGCGGCTTATCTTAAATTTCTCGTAGTTAATACATACCTTCAGACTAAGCGACAAAACCGCCCAAGCACTGGCTGCATGTTGCGTGGGGTCAAGGCCAGCAACTGCACTAATGATTTCACTATAAGAAAGTAACGCGTCGATGATTTTCCGTGAGACTTTCCGAAGTGTCTTATCTGACTTTTGCTGGTATTCCTCGTATTGCTGTTTTGTCACCTGGATGATCTCGTCGATCAGCTGTGTTAAGCCAGATGTCTTATTCTTAGATTGGAGAGAGCTTTCTGTGCGTAACAAGATCTGCTGCTGCTTCTTATCAAGTCGGTCATAAGCAGTCTGCCATAGATCTATTGGATGGAAGGTTTCGAATGACTGGCGTGGCTGGATTGCTGGTGGGCCATAAGTTGCCGGTTTAGCGACCACGCTGTCTTTTTGATCTTCCGCTTGCTTGATATGCGCCTGTGCTTTCTCAATCTCCTTGTGCCTGTGTAACGAAGACAAAAGCCTTTTTAGACGTTCAGGCATCTCTCATAAGAAGAACAATATCTAAATAGCTGGTTTCCGGGTGTTTGGTTGGGAAAGGTGAGAGACTAAATAGATAAAATTAGGCTGAAGAGGGGAAGATGCCCAGTTCTATCTTGCCCCACCAGGTACATACAGAGCTAGGATGGTCAAGTAATATGAACTTGCCTGCTTGCTGCGCGCCAATCATAGGAACCTTTCCGACATCATTGGAGGATACAGGGGTTCCTAAGTACCCACTCGGTGTGCGGACAAGGTGGCTATGTTAGACCAGACTGTATTTCTGCCCTCCTTCTCTCCTTTAGGTCCATCTAGAGACTCTTATTCCCGAGTGTTTATATTTATATTGTTCCCTTTCAATCCTTACGTTCTTGCTTGTCCATTTAAGAGGTCAAGAAACCAAGACTTATTAGGCTCCCATGCCGCCCGTCTTGGGTGGGTCTAGCTTAGTCATTTCCCATCCACCGAATCACAGACTGCTCTTGAAATCAAGTTCTGTCTATTTCTATAAATAGAATATTCTGATTTATTGTTTCATAAGATTGTCTAGATGAATATAGATGGAGTCTTTAGTTTTTTTCATTTTCATCTAATAGATCTACAGCGATTGTCCCATACTTGTTACGGTACAGGAAGGTACTGGAAACATTATAAGTAGTAAATAGCCTTGACAAACTGAAGTTTGTTAATTTAGCCTTTTGGGTTATCGCTTTGGCTATTTTGCGCTAGTCCCTAACAATACTACGATTGGAACCAGATCAAATACATGAAAAGTGACTTGTGGAATATTTTCCAGAACAAGCAGAAAGCAAATTGAATAGCCGTTCAAATTAATCTACAGGATTACAAATCTCGCTATGGTCTTCAAGCTATAGGTGTATATCCTCCACGGTCAAACCCGCGTGCCGAAAGTGACCTTCTGCGCTCAAAGCTCTTGCACCAACCGTGTCTACACACCATTCGAGGAAGTTGTCGAATCCTTGGTCCGGGTTCTCTTCGTAATATTCCCAATTCCGGCGAATAAAAGCTTTTAGCTCAGCAAAGAATTCCTCGATCGGATTCAAATCTGGAGAATACGGGGGCAAGAACACTAATTTCACACCCGCTTCTGAACACATTTGCTCAATCCGTTCAGAGTGATGAAATGATGCGTTATCCATCACAATTACAGACTTCGGCTCTGGCCACTTCCCGCAATGCTGGAGAAGCTGCTCAATGAAATCCTCGAAGATAGACGCATCAGTTGAGCCTTGGAACACTCGCGAGAGAATGATACCATCCTGGGCATAGGCAGGAAGAATCTGATATCGCTGGTCACGATGGAATTTAGAGACTTGAACCGGTGTTGTACCAAGAGGAGACCAGCCAGTTCGTCTGAACCCTATTCGCTTATCACACCCAGATTCATCCACATAGACCAGATGGTATGAAGAAAACTCTGACATGAGATGATTATAGTCATCACGCAGATCCGCGTTCTGTTCTTTGGCTTTTTGTCGAGCGGTCTTTTTTGACCATCCTTTTCGATGCAGGGCGTCGCTGATCGTGGATTTGGGAATGGATATATCAAATTCATCTAGGAAGAACAGTTCCATCTCAGAAAGATATGAATCCGGTTTCTCCAGCAGATGGTCGCACAATGCCTCTAACATTGCCGGCGTGATGCTTCGCGGCCGTCCTGCCTTTATGGGAGGAGCTTTGATAGTACCGAAAAGCCGCAGATTTGATCGGATCCTAAGGACTGGAATCAGTGGTTGCGGAAAGGATCTCGCACGCTGTGGAGACACACGGCTTGCTCCCGACCAGCCACTTCGGCGCCCGAAAGCAACGGTCCGCGGAGCAGGCGCTTGTGCTATTGCAAGAGCAGATCTACACCGCGTGGCGTGGCCGACGGGTGTTGAGTTTGATCAGCTTCGATGTCAAAGGCGCCTACAACGGTGTGTGCAAAGAACGACTACTCCAGAGGATGAAAGCGCGAGGCATACCAGATGACTTGCTCCGGTGGGTCGAGGCATTCTGCTCAGAGCGAACGGCCACCATTCAGATCAACGGGCAGCTTTCGGAGGCCCGAAGATTGCCCCAAGCTGGCCTGCCTCAGGGCTCACCCCTATCTCCGATCCTATTCCTTTTCTTCAACGCAGACCTCGTGCAACGACAGATTGACAGCCAAGGAGGAGCGGTCGCTTTTGTGGATGATTTTACCACATGGGTGACCGGGCCAACCGCGCAGAGTAACCGGCAAGGAATCGAGGCAATTATCAATGAGGCACTCGATTGGGAAAGGAGAAGTGGAGCAACTTTTGAGGCGGAAAAGACAGCTATCATACACTTTGCTCCCAAGATGCGTAAATCGGACCATGAGTCGTTTATCATCAAGGAACAGACGGTTGTACCCAAAAGCCACGTCAAGATCCTGGGTGTCTTGATGGACACGAGACTGAAATACAAGGAACATATGGCGAGGGCCGCGTCCAAGGGCCTGGAGGCAGCGATGGAGCTTCGGCGACTTCGCGGCCTTTCCCCAGCAACGGCTCGGCAGTTATTTACATCGACGGTGGCGCCAGTTGTGGACTACGCCTCCAATGTCTGGATGCACGCGTGTAAGGACAAGGCCATGGGGCCGATCAATCGAGTCCAAAGAGTTGGAGCACAAGCCATTGTGGGGACATTCCTCACGGTCGCGACCAGCGTAGCGGAGGCGGAAGCCCACATTGCCACCGCGCGGAACCGATTCTGGAGACGGGCCGTGAAAATGTGGACGGACATGCATACCCTTCCTGAAACAAACCCGCTCCGCAGAGGTACAGACCGGATCAGAAAGTTCAGACGATATCATCGCTCGCCGCTGTACCAAGTGGCAGATGCGCTTAGGCACATCGACACGGAGACACTGGAAACAATTGACCCGTTCACGTTGGCCCCATGGGACGAACGCGTACAGACCAATATTGACGGACAACATGAACCCCAGACTGAAGTGGGCGGGTTGATGCAGATCGCGGTCAGCAGCTCGGCACGGAACGAGCTGGTGGGATTTGGAGTCGCGATCGAGAAACAGCCACCTCGAAATCGAAAATTGAAGCTCAAAACGTTTTCTATCACATTGGGCGCGAGGGCAGAGCAGAACCCGTTCTCTGCGGAGCTGGCAGCCATGGCACATGTGTTGAAAATGATAGTGGGAATCAAGGACTATAGGATTACGTTGCTCACAAGCAACAAGGCCGCGGTGCTCACGCTAAGGAACCCCCGACGACCGTCTGGCCAGGAGTTTGTTTGTCAGATGTACAAGCTGATGAGAAGATTGCGGAGGAATGGAAATCGCATCATTTTCCACTGGATCCCTACTACCGAGGACAACAAGCTGTTAGGTCTGGCTAAAGAACAGGCCAGAACTGCAACACAAGAAGATGCTCTCCCACAAGAACACGTCTCGAGGATGAAGTCGACAACATTGAACATCGCACGGTCCCAAGCAGTCCCCAGCAGTGAGCTACCAGAGAACATAGGAAGACACGCAAAACGAGTAGATGCCGCACTGCCAGGCAAACACACCCGGCAGTTGTATGATCGCCTCACGTGGAAAGAAGCGAGCGTACTGGCCCAGCTCCGAACCGGCATGGCTAGGCTCAATGGGTATCTCAATCAAATTAATGTAGCAGAGACGGATCAATGCGATTGCGGACAAGCAAGAGAGACCGTGGAGCACTTCCTCTTCCGATGTCGGAAGTGGATGGCGCACCGGACGGAAATGTTACAATGCACGCAGACTCACCGAGGAAACATATCTTTCTTCCTGGGCGGAAAACAGCCTTCTGATGATCAGAAGTGGACGCCAAACCTAGAGGCAGTACAGGCCTCCACACGTTTCGCCATTGCGACGGGCCGACTCGAGGCCACTTGAACATATCGACCAACATAACCCCCACCCCTTCTTCCGACCCTACTTACCCACCACCTCGTGCTACACATGGTAGACGCGCTTCAACTGCCGAAGATAGGATGTTGAACACTTGGAGAAGCGCCTTCAAGCCAGCCTACTAACCCACTTACTAACCCACGAGAAACTCGCTGCGATACTGCTTTCTGGAAATGTTATATGTTATAAGGTTTTATGTATGGGCTTTCAGGAGACACAGCGTACACAGATGGACATGTACAGTAGATCAGTGATAGTTGCCCTTTCGGCTCAGCCGCCGGGCGTTAATGAATTGTTTGTTTGTTTGTTTGTTTGTTTGTATTTGGACGAGCACTCTTCCAACAGTGATGCATCTTTATGAGACACGGCGTTCCATTCAATTCGGATATTCAGTCCTTCTTACCGTTGCATTTCTTGGAAGTGTCTCCGATCTCACGTTCGACTCGAATCTATCCGTGTTTCGCGGCCGATTCCCCTACCACTGCGTCTCGCTCGGTCTACTGTGTTTGGCTCCAGCGCTTCAGGCTTTGGCCGAGACTCGACCAGCATTTCCAGTACTGGCAACCGAGTTCATTCACATGGTCATCAAGAACTGTCTTGGAGCTACAATTTATCTGATCGGCCCATTTGAGCGACTCAACTTCATGCCTGGATTGCAGCCCAGTCTTTGTGTGATGCACCTTTGTCTGGTTCACAGCCTAATTAGTTACTCGAGGGCTCTCATGCAGCTCGTTTTCTGATCCTAAAGAAGGTGCGGGTAGTGACTGTGCGTATCAGATGAGAGAGGTTGTGCTCAAGTTCATTTCATGTGAGCTTGCAAGCACAAAGAAAAGAGGCATTCCAGGAATTGCGCTTTTCACTTGGGATGGGGTTTCCAGAAGCGAATAGGGATTCAGCATCGCCAGGAATGATAAAGCGAGTATCAATCATACTATAATGAATTATTGCTTGATTTATTTATTAAGTCCGTTCAAAGGGCTCGTTACTATATCCCTACGTATTTCTGATGTCCTCAACTAGACTTTACCGAAGACGGAAGTTCTCCCTACAAACTAGCTTCTTCTATCGCTCTGAGTAAGCGCATAAGTATTCCAAGTTCAAACGCCAGCGATGTGGTCGGCAGCTATGTAGGTGTCGTTCGATTGCTACAAGTGGCTGCTGTGATGTTCAGATATAAGGTTGACGCGAGGCCTGCGAATTTGGCGGTCTCGCTTGTAAGCCTGGTTTGCGGTTGGCTGTTTTGTGCTCTCGTGTACTTTTCTGATCTAAATTGAAAAAGCACTACAGTTTGGCAACCTCATCTTCCGGCGACTTGAAGAGCCAATTCTGCAAAAAAAGTCAAAATGTGTACAAAACTCCATGCGGGTCAAAATATATTTATATCGTATTTCATTCCTGCTGAACACTGCTTCTGTGTCGTGATCGACATACGGCAAACTAACACATACCACACCGGCTCGGACAATGTCAGTCAGACAATTCAAAGAGCACATGATTTTTGACTTTGACAGCATCAAAGCTCAATGCCAACCGCCGCCCACATCGCCCGAAATCTTCGCTAGCAAGGAGAAGTTCGCTGGCGCTGCATCAAAAAGACCAAGACTCCATCACAGCCAGAAGACCGTCACGGGCCCCATAAAAGACCTTTGCCTTCCACGCTTGCATAGTCTCGACAATATCACATCAGCCCTGATTATTCGACACGAGTCCCCGTGGGACACCTATCAGCAAGCCATCTCATATGACATCGCAGGAGAGGTGATAATTGCCTCTCGTCGCACCCGCCCATCTCGTGTGGTGGCCATTAGAAAATACCGGAGACAAGATGCCCGGAGCCTGATTGATAGATTCGGGCGTTTAGAGCATGTCAATGTTCTTTCATTTCATGAATGTTATATTGATAGGGATTTCGCGTTCTTCTTAGTCGCTGATCTACCGCTGACTCTCGCGCATGTCGTTGCTTGCTCGGATCTGTATCCTAGTGAGATTGAACTGGGGTCGATCTTGTGCCAGGTGTGTTCTTCATGACTGTTTCAAGAAACTCTGCTGACATATTAGATCCTCGACGGTATGTGCTATTTAGCTGCCTTAAGTCTTGTGCATCAGGCTTTGGTTTGCTCTCATATTCTACTCGGCCTTGACGGGATCATTAAAATCGGTGAGTCGAGACGCTTCCCCGAGGGATTGTAACTCACGAGTAGCAGCGGGCCCGGAACATTGCGTGGACTGCATGAAAAGCCAGTCGGAAGCCGCATGCGTCGCCTCCATACCGTCAATCACAATGCAGCTCATGCAAAAGTACGAGAAAGATGGGGCTATTGGTGTAGACGACCTGGAGCGCTGGCCAATTGAGTCCGATGCCGTAGACTTTTTGTCCGCTTCTGGGGCGACAGCATCGATGGAGGTTTTAAAAATGGTGAGTCGTTCGTTCTACCTGGGCTCAGAACTTGCTAATGCCTGTCAGCATCCGTTAACAGCCAGACGCCACCCGGCTGCTGATCTCCTGTTATTTGCAAGGGCTTCCTTACTTATGACACGAGTAAATTGCACATACCATCGTGGAGTGAAGTCTTTCTATAACACGGTGGATATTCAACCTTCGGGCTAGATCAAAATGACAGTCTCCTCATGCCTTTCACGCCGCAATATTCGCCACCTATCGTACATTCTGAGTGCAAGGACCAATGCGAGGCGAATGATTGGAAAATACACGTTAAAGCGCAGGCCCTTTTTGCTGGTATTTCAATTAGACTGACATGCTGAATGCAATTTGAGATTTCCCAATGCCACTCTGAATGCGTCTCAAAGATTTGCCATCTCGATTCAAGTCCAGCGGCGGGTTGGTCGTGATAGATAGCCGGACTTCAATGTGACGACGAATGGCTTTGTCCGATTCTCTATTCCAGTCATCTCAACGCTCAACGATGTCCCTACATGTTGAGCTATTGATGATTACGTACTGGCATGAGTCTCTCCGTGGTACATCCAAGCATCTGTTCAGCATTCATTTGTCTACCTTCACCACTCACGCCAGTCTTCCTCTCGTCGCTCCCATGATGCGAACGCGTGAGTCCCAGTCATGTTTCAGTCAGAGACAAATACTCAAGTAAGGCACCTTCTTCCTCCCCTCTGCAAAAGTCGTGACGGTGCTGATCTTACATCTTTGACATCTAGTACCTCGTCGTCCCAGATCCCCTCCATTCCAAAATCGCCCTTCATCTACTCAAAGACTGAAGAGCTTGTCTGGAAGTGGGAACAGCTGAAGCTGAATAGCATGCTGCAATGTGCTACCTTACCCAGCCACACTGTGGTCAACAGGCCAGACAAAAAATGTGTCTTCGTTTCTGTGGAATTAGGCGTCACAACAGTCCTTCCACTAGCCAAAATGTCCAGTCTGCAATCCTCGGACTATCACTTGGGTATCACTTGCGCGACCAATGGGAAAGATAGAAAACTCATCATTCTCGGTGTTGCAGGAAAGCAAAAGATCTCAAGAGTCAGAGAAAAGGCGCTCCATCTTTGGAGGTCCATCTATCAGACTCCTCCTCTGACTCTATACAGCTGGTCCACGGAGTATTGGGTGTCGGATTCCGTCGTGATCGATGCCAGATCAATCGAGGGCACAGATTTGATGGACGAAGCAATACGGACAGGACGAAGCGCCGCCAAGGCATACGTCTGCATTGGCCTTCCAGCAATCACTTTCGGCCCCCTGTTCAATACCCTGGTGTCCACATGCAACGTGAATGCGGCCTGCTTCAATCTTGCCATAGGATATATCTGGATGGCGGCTGCCGTTGAGCCAACGAGGCTTGAGGTTGAAGGAGAAGATGGTTCTGGGTTCTTTGGCAATTTGTTTCTGTCGATGATCCATGATGAGACTCAAGGGTCATGGCTCGTGGAGGCAAAGCTTCGGTTCTGGCTCGAAAGCACTTCTCGAGTGAAAGCTGGTGTCCTTGCTGAGCTATTGGAGATGAGAGATATCCGCATCACGTCAACTCACAGGCCCCTCGCGCGCCCGTGACGAGGTCAGCCCAACAGATCCAGCCGTTCCCACTGTTGTATAATGCCATTTGGAAGATGGATCTTGTAGCTTTGCGGCCTGAGGGCATACATAGCAATCTTGAATGCACATTTTCACTTCTGCACGTGTCTTACGCCACAAAGAAGACCGATCCTGTCGATTTTTGCAAACTCCATGAAGGTGTTGATATGACAAATTTACAAGCCTACATGCCAAACAGATACAGGTTCTCGTGGGCAACGTGTATTCAATATCGAGTTCCATCAATCGAGTGAACAAGTTTCAACATCTGTGGTTAGCTTTGTAATCTGTTAAACCATGGTGCGTGTGGAACCACTTATTCCTCGCAATACTAAACACAATGGCTTCACTACTCATTTCACCCCTTCCTTCACCAAAGATACCGCGAGTAAAGATCGAACCAAGGCCATAAAAGCCGTCCGCTGCCCACCAGAAAGAGCTCCAGTCTAGGCACTCCATTTGACACCACAAACTCCTTTGACATGGACCCAGACAGCTCTGCCAGCGACGAAGCAAGCAGACAGCTGCACGGTGAGCTGCAACAAGTCTCAGACAGTCCCTGCGTTGGTATTGCAGATCAGCCGACTCAGCAGACCGTGGTCTTCGGAATCTCGCCTGCATACGTGAAGAACTGGGATACGACCGATGCCTTTCGCGAGCTATATCAAAACTGGTACGTATCAAGCCGCCCATTGGGAGTTTTGCTGACACCGAGTAGGAGAGATGCCATTCTGGAAACATTCCAGCTAGACCGCCGCGACTTGAAGCTATCTTTTCACGACGATGACGATCACTTCGCCATCATAGGCTCGTCGGCCCCGAAAGATCACGCGGACCCCCTCGCTCGAGGATTCATCAAGTACGAGAAACACACCGGTCGAGTTACCCTCGCCAATGCATGCGCCCAGCTGCCGATCGAGTCTCTCGTCATGGGACACTCGACCAGAGACAGAGACAACCGACTGAGTGGCTCGCACGGAGATGGTCTCAAACTGGCTGCGTTGGTCATGAATCGACAGCAGTTTCAAATGAGCATCGCCGCAAGTCACTGCAATTGGAAATTCGGGCTGCATGGGCCGCAGCAGTCTCTTCGCTGCGTGATCACAGCGGCACGTAAGACATCGCACAGCGACTGGCCAGCAGCCGTGGATGATATGGCGAACTTGCGCCCCCGTATAGAACGCGATGTCGCCGTGGTCATTGGCGCGGGCCGGGGCAACCACAGCCGACCGGTGTCACCCAAGACCTTCCTGCGATGGTTACGGGTCACTCTTGACATTCACGGACTCATCGCCGCCACGTCAATGGTCCAGACCCCCCAGGGAGATTTGCTGCTTGATCCAAAATGCTCGGGTCAGCTGTTCCTGCATGGGGTCCGGCTCGCCATGCATCCCGTGGGCGGCAAGGCTTTCATGTACGGCTACAACTTCGCGTGTGGGAAGTTTAGCCGAGACCGACAAGGACTGATCAGCCAGCTTGACCTGGCGGACCTCGTACGACAGATCTGGGAGTATGCGCTATCTTTGCGTGAGACAGACCTACTCCCAAGCTATGTCAACCTCCTCCGGAAGTATCCGCACTTCGGCGATGTGGACCAAGCAGAAAGACTTTTGGAGCCATCGACCAAGCTTCGCATTTGGGAGCATATGTTGTGTGCCTCCAAAAAGAAGCTGTTCTTTTACAGCGTGGAGAACAGGTTGCAGGTCAGTGCGAACCTACTTGAGCGGAGTCATATGCTAATTCGAGATAGACCGTGAACGCGATCCGAGCATGCACCGGTAAAAAGCCGACGCCACTTCCGACGACTTTCTGGCAACTCCTTCGCTCCGCGACGCCCATTCGAACGATTGAGGAGGAGCAACAGCAACTTTGCAAAGATGCGGCGATCTGCGCCTTGCCCGACACGACCTTTGCAAAGACAATCGACCGGGCGTTCAGGGCCTGCTTGGCACTCTTGAACGCCCCCAGCGGGATGCAAGTCCTCTTTGTCGAAGACGTGGCCGGAAGACGTGATGTCTTGTACCACGCTGCAGACCAGACCCTGAGAGTTCCCCACCAATGGTGGAAATTGGACAGTGTGGACCTCGGAGCCCCATGCCGCAATGTGGTCCCAACGACCAACGATGGGCAGTATGCACCTATCTCATGGCAAGACCTTGTCGAGGAACTGCTGATCCTCTCGATTCCATCCGTGTTGACAGCATTCCCGATGACACGTATCACAGAGAACCGGTACATGCGCCACATCAGACGCCTGCTGCAATGGTTTCCACATCACATCCAAATCAGCCTTCATGCCAGTGGTCTACTTGTTACCTGGGAAGATAACGCAACGGATGCAGTGCAGAGATATGAAGGTGGGCCAGAATACAAAGTCATTCTTCATGCAGAGTACTGTGGCGCCGACGCGGAGCTCCTTCACTCCGACACGGGCAAGTCCGTCCCACCCATCATGTGTGGTCAGATTGAGCTGAGCTCCGAAACACCGACTACGACCAACTTCGCAGCATGTGGATGCCACCAGCAGATTGTCCCTCGTTCGACTCAATGGTGCGTTTTTGCCGAACTAGACCACTTCACCGCATACTACGCGATGATCTGCGTGAATGAACCGTCGGCGATCTATGGCCTGCCGTCAGAGAAGTTGATCCCTGGCACCAGCATCCACGACAGTGGTCTGGCTTCATGCAATCCTACTGCGCATGCGTCTGTTGGTATCAAACACGAACGACCCATCATGGTGCCAACTACCCCGGTCCCGGCTCATCTGAGCGACATGTTATATCCAGAGTCGTGCAAACGGCTGAAGGTTTCGCATCTTTTAAAGAAATTTGATAGCTAGAATGACACTATATCGTCCATAATGGAAACTCGATTGCTACGCATGTTCTGATCTGACTTCGACAGCATTTAGATTATTGAGACATCAACAGTAATGACTTGGTGAACTTACCAACTTTTTGACTCTACCATAGAAATTCTTCCCACTATTTCCAAAACCTACACGGTTGGACCGACCGACGAAGCGCGGGAGGGGCATGAGAGCGTTCTGCCATGGGAGACTGTCTCTGCAGTCGAACTGATCGGCCGGGACGATGTGTTGCGCCCGGCGCCATGGATGTTCTGCGACCCCGCCTCGTCCCGGCTGGCTGGAGAGGTGGCTCTCCTGTCCGAGCATCGATCCGTGGCTGCGTGGTGTCCATATTCACGGCCGAGTCGTGACGAAGCAACGCGACGGTTCCTTCGGAACGTTCTGCGGTTTGTAGCGAGGGGTCCCGCGGCGGGCGGTAGAGGGCGTCCAAGGCGGTCTCGGTTGGGCTGCACGTGTCAGCCATCAGCACGACCAAACCAAAATCCTCCAGCGAACACCGAACTTACCAGATGCAGCATGAGGTACCTCGTCCTGTGCCGCGCTTTCCCAGCCACTCCTCCGTACACGCCAGGTGCGATAACCCTCGGCACTTGACGCACCGCAACACCACGCGTTCATCGACTTGATCGCCCTCCTCGTCCAAACAGAACATGCAGTGGATGTTGTCGACTTCGTCACTGGGAGTGACGCTGTGGAGCGTCAAGTTTTGCACACCCGCCCAGATGTTTGTGTAGAATGGAAGGATCGCTGGCTGGGCTGGTGACACGTGCCATGGAACATTGTTTGCTCGCAGCATCGCAGCCGTGATATAGGGAGCAACCCATGAATGGCCATGGTTGAATATATCATGGTCACTGAGGACACTGATAGGCGAGGGCTCACGATCCCCGAGTCGATTTCGGTGCCATCGCTTGCACAGAAAGCAGTTCCAAATTTCGCGGAGTGAAGACTGCAGTCCGGCCAGATCAAATGTGTTACTTGGAAAATCGGTCATTCTGATGGCCCTTGATGGTACTCTTGGCTTTCCTTAGGTTCTTGTAGGCTTGACCCTGTCTTGTGATCCCACCACAGGTGCTTCGCTGATCGAGTGATCTACAGACCACTGATGGCTTCCAACTGGACGATGACGACCAAATGTTGTTGATAAGCGGACTGTTTGGAGTGCCTAGACCCGGCAGCGCCCATCATTTATAGATTTCTACGCCGTTCCAACATACTAGTGTTCCAGGCAGTGGACGGTATGTAGCGCCACAGAGCATTCCTCACGCGTTACGTTTGCATGCTGCTGGCAGGGCCGTTGCTGATCGCTAGCTTCTAGACGATGCCCTTCAATGCAAAGGATGGTAGAGCTGAGAATGTGCAGCATGATTCAGCCAGGGAACCAGGCTTACGTTGCATCTGAGCTTGCCTCTTCATAGTCACTATGGCATATCGCGATTGAGAAAAGTCTGTAGTGTATGAGCCGTTTAGGTATTCCTGGAGACAATTTGGGTGCTCCTGGGACGCAATTTGATCCTAGGAATACTAGTAACGACTCCGGGACCCTCAATTACGGGTTGAGGACCTATATGACCACATCCCATCGTGCTTATGCTTCATTGTCCCTGCCAACCAATAACGGCGTCGGTCACCCTCTCTTCAGAGCTGGGCAATGGCGATGCTAAGGGAGCATGATATAAAAGTGCTCTTCCACCACAAGCAGCCTCTTCACTCTCTCGATCTCTACACAATACGGTGCGTGCATGGATTTTCCATTGATCTGCTCGGCTTGGATACCCATCTACAATTACAGCCACATCTTCGGGGCTTGCCCAATGAAATATTGCTCATGATTGCAGCAAGCCTGGACGGCAAGGCAATCATCGCCTTGAGAGAATCATGCAGCAATTTACACCATAGACTGCAATGCACCTTCATCGAGTTCAATATCAAACATCAGAACAGCAATCTGTTGCATCTGGCAGCCGAAACCAACAATCGGTCTCTGGCAAAGGCTATGCTGAGATGTCACGCCGACGTCAATGCTTTTTTCCGCGGGTTAACCCCAATTATGAGAGCATTGAAGTCCGGTGCTACCGATGTGCTGAGGGTCTTGTTGAGAACTCCA